ACATTTCAAACAGCATATAAATTCTGGTGCAGTAACAGTAGTTAGCCGAAAAATGTGAATGAACTTGAAATAGCTGTTAAGACAAACGAGCCTGTAATCCAGTTTCTGATTTGGAAACTGCATTTAGCGAGCATAAACCCATTCGTTTAAAATACACACGATTTTGATGCTAAAAAGACGAATGTAAGCACAGCTCGCCAATCATGGAAAGAAGCATTTTCAAGGCCCTGTCTGTTTGTTCGGGTACCTCTTCGGATTCCACTTAAGATCGAAAAGTTGGGAGGAAGTTCTGTGTTTAGGTTCGCTTTCGTCAACTCAAAACCAGCCTTCATTTACACCTAGGTGCCACGTAGCAACATATGGAAGTGGAACTGCAAAAGAAACTTCCAGCCAGTTGGTATCGAGCTAGGCAAATTGAATGGGATTTTACGAAGATCCCGCCACTTCCCACCCCGAACTTCTAAATTCATTTCTTACATATGCCTACTTCCTATGAAATTTTATTATGATATTTGCTGTCTTAGGGATTAAACTACGCAAATGCTGAAATTTCAGTATTGTTTTCTGCAAATGCATAATAAATTCGAGTTCAGTTTTCACCGACGCAGGCGTTTTGTGCAAGGGCATGGAATTTAGGGCGAGAAATTTACTAACTAGGAAAGCAGATAAAATAAAAAGCCATGATTTCAATTGGATGCTTACTGCCAGCGTCTGACCGTAATAATGCAATTCCAGGCTTCACATTCACTTAGGCCGAGATTTCATATTAAAAGCCAGTGACATTTCTTGAACAAAGGCATAGAAACAAAGTACTAGGCAGCATCGGCTGCTTTTTTATGTTTAATTCGATGAGTTTTTGAGTTGCAGTTTTGCACAGACGTATCATAATATTTATATGCAAAGCATGCAACTCAGGTATATAGTGATTTGAAATGTGAGAGTTACTTGCGTATGACGTGACACCGGATGCAGAAGCCGAAATTTTAGGACAGCTTTGCCTCATGTGCCATTCAAAGATTTAAATCTAGCTCGGAATCGCGTCTATTTTTACATATGAGCAAGTGAAAGTTCGGCTTGGAACACTGTGAAGCTAGAGCGGTCGCTCATTAAATCATTGGCGAAGCGCTTTGCGCGGGCCCGTGCGATCATGCGTTTCTGCAGTGATTCGTGCTGCAATAAGATCACTCGAAATTCCGCCAGCTAGAAACCTCTTCTACATACTGCTCCCCGAATTTCGGAAGTTAATTATCCACGCTATACTTGAACAGGGGCCATTCCCTTGAAATCCCAGGTTCCCAGCTTCCTCAGTTCCCGAATTACCCAAATTCTAGCCAGAAAATTTCACGGGGCCGTACGTGGCAGCACGCAAGACTGGGAGCTGGATTTGATAAATTCAAGTAGTAGATGAGCTAGGAACATTTCCTGAAAGTTTCAGCCTCCCAGCTTTCTCGGTTCCTGAGCTAGCAATTTTCGCGCAAGGAACCCTCGCGGGGGCGTACGCGGGACTACAAATCCCCGGAGGCTGAATTTTAAATCTTTGACTTCTCTTGGACTGGAAACATAATTCCAAAATTTCAGCTTTCTAGCTTTTCTGGTTCTCAATTGGCGATTTTCCCGCCACAATTTTGAGGCGCTCGTACGT